TTTGATGGAAATCTCGAGGGTTTCTTGCCCGGCTCGGGCAATAGTCTTCGCGATTCCTGCTACGTACCAAGGAACGTCAGGAACCGGCCGTTTGCCGCCACGTCTGGATTATCCTTGATATGTTTCTCGGGTTAAGCTGGCCCCTGGTGAATGGAAGTTAAACCAGCAGCTGTTTCGGGTGGATGGTTCACGGGTCAAATGTGGACGGAACTTAAGTTCCACGGACCGACAAGGGTGTTATTCTTTGCTCAAGGTCGTTTCTCGTGTCGTTGAACAGTGGAAAAATGTACATCCTCGTTCTTGCGACAGGCTTAACGACTTCTACGGTGAGAATATCTGTGTTTTTACCGAGATGTTGAGACGTTTAAGGGAGTAACCGACAAATTGGAATTTTTTGGGGTGATCGTGGCTGTCGAGTACTTGATCTTCACTGAATGGTCTGGGTCGGTAACATTGTCGGTCATCGAATGCCGAATTTTTATCGAGTTACAGATTTACATTGCAATAAGTACAACGTGCGTTGTAATTGTTTCAGTAAAATTCTAAAAAGGCTTCTGGTGTTCCTGTTAGATCCTTCAGACAAACCTTCTTCGAATTAAGATGAAGGGGGACCAATAAATTCTCCAGTTCTTTTAGTTTCTGTTTGTGAATACATATTAATAAAGGAAACGGAACACGGATTACTAAACTGCGAATGTTTATGCATTTATAGTAAACTTTAATAAAACGTAATGATATTTATATAATATTATCAACATAATAAGACTAATTAATATCTAAAATGGCGAATTTGCATAAATATCCGCAGTCTACAGATTACCCAATGACACAGTGGACCGAGGATCAGAACTTAATAATAAACAGCAAAGAAAAATTTTAAGAAAACCAAGCAAACAAACGGGAAAGGAGTGCAGAAATAAAAAACTAAATCATTGATCATTAACAAAAACATGTTTATTCGAGCAACTGTATATGTATACCAAAAGTCTTAATATTGTTCATTGGCCGATACAACGCGTTTCGGACTATATCGCGAGCCACCAGACACCGTCGTGATCGAAGCCGGTGCAGCGTAACGCGCGCAAGATCCCACGAAACGGATTACAAGGAACAAGGTTCGCGGGGGATCGTTAAGGGGGTTGCGCCTGTCCAGCGAAGAGGACGCGCGGATGCGTGAGGTCACTGGCAAAGTAGAGCCCGGCGGATCGGCCGGCGAACAAGCGTTTCGTTCGGGTTCGAACCCAGGTACATAATTCATCGAGCGTGCACCATTGTCGGGAGCTTCATTAATACAAATGGCGTCTGGTGAATTCTGGCCCGACCACACCCCGCGCGTCGTGCACGATAGTAACAAGGGACGGTGTGGGTGTGTAAGGCCGGGCGGCAGCAGCCGGCGGCATCATCCCTCTGGCATATAGGCGAGCCCCGCTTCAGCTCCTGCCGCCACCCCTATCGTCGTCGACGACCGACGACGACGTCGAGACGCGCGAGACATATTTTTCCAGTCCTTGTCGACTTTCATGAGGGCGTCTTTCCGCAATAACATATTAATATCCCGGAGCACCGCGAGACTTATGGGCCGTCGTGGAGAAAGCTCGACCCCGGATCAACGCAACGCCCGTTAAGGCGGACCCGCACACCGCGACGAGGACACCGAGGACGCCTAACGCGGCGGCCTTAAGCGTCGTAAAGCAACCGTTGCACGTCCAGCCCCCACCCCACGGGGGTTATCGGCCAGGAATTGACAACGATGCCCACGCGAAATATCTTTCTCCTCGTTTTACCCAACTACCCTTAAGTCCGAACGACACCGGATTTATCGTTGTGATCGACCTCCCCTTCTTGCCATCCTACGTCGATGTGTTACGTAAACCGCGAACGATCGTTGCGTAATCGAGTGACGGGAAGGTGGCGTAACGATGCGAAGACCGTCGGTGAATGTGGAACGTCGGTGGTGGTTTGTGGGAGTTTGAATGACGAATAGGGAAATGCATAGCGATTGTGTGAACCGATGATGGGAATAACTTGTTCGTTTTGTTGCTGTTCTATGCGGAAGACTTTTGTGAATGATAGTTTTAACCGTATGTTGTCACACCTCCTCCTTTATACTGGACCAATTTGACCCCGTATGACAAAGGAGGATTCATCAAATTCTAGAATATTGAGAATATATGAGAGTTACGTTTGACAAAGGTAAATCGAATCAGTGGTCTAAGGGTGAGGAAACGGGATTGAACGAAAGGGTTGTAAATCAGAATTCTTCATTACTCAAACGAATATATATAACTAAAATACAATAACTGTATTTACGAAAAAAAAATACGTTAAGAAGTTCGGCATTCACTTATAAAAGTATTAATTTAATTTTCACAAAATTCGACCACTAACTCCAAAACCCAATGGCATCCGCTTCCAACCCTTTCTGCTCAATCCCCCTGTCCCCCCAAAAAATGTCATCTACATTGATAAAAACGAATGTGCATATTTCCATACAATCTACAGTGCGAATTTCAAAAAAGAAGCTGGGCGAAAAGCTGCTATATCTCGTGAACAATCACAGCGCGCATACGGTGTGCAACGGGAACGGTGGAGGGGGGGAATTATTACGGGAAACGTGGAAGCGGGTTTGGACGCACAGGAGGTGTTTTCACAGGTGTGGTGGATTGGTTGCGGCCCAGGGCCGTCGGGCAGAAATGAAAAAATAAAAAAAGAAATACAGCGACAAAAAACACGCAATAATCAAGGTTTACATATCGCATTTATTTTGTTCCTTTTTTTTCTTAGTAATCGTATAATCAAGGTAAAATATTACAATTCAGCGTTCAGAACAGCAACCGCCCCCTAAGTCTTGTATAATCCATTACAACGTTCACGCATATATATATATAGGCGGCAGGTGCGGTCCTGGTCGCTCTCGGGTTACATTACAATCAGGTATTCCGATTGGTAAACAATTAATACCCTAATATGTTACAAAAGAGGATTTTTCGCTTTGCCGTGTTTACAGCAAAAAATTCTTCCTCGCCGACGACCGCGTTTACAAGAGAGTGATCGGCCGCGCGGGGGAGGCGGGGCTGCTACCCGCTTACGACGCTCGTTTACTACCCCTAAAATAGGCCTGCTGGTGCACGAGCACTACTCGCGCCTGAATGATCCCTGTCTCGAACGACGTTGTTTTACAACAGCACGCAACAGCACAGAGCCCGGGGACGAGGGGAAACAGACACGTAGCTATTACGTTACCGCCGCGCAACACCGTGTTTCGCTCGCGTCTCCCCACCTTTTATTCCCGTTTTTCGGAATTCTAGCTCGTATCACCGAGATCCACAAAATAAATAATTATTAACATTACAATTTTTCCTCTTAGAAATACTGCGTTTTTAAAACTGTGTTTTACTCTTGCGTGTCTCTTAGCGGCTATTCGTATACATTCATTAACTAGAATAGTTGTGTTACTGCTTAGGATAGCGCCACGCGCGCACACACACACACGCATCTCGTGTCTGGAGTTTAGGCGTCTAGGTACTAGGGTAGGTACGTACAATGTAATAATCCTTGCTCGTATCGAAGGGGTCCGATCCCCGAGTTCGTTTGTTCCGACAATCCGTTTCGTAACCGACGAGGGGAGGAAGGGGGAAAGGTGGTTTAAACGACGAAACGAAAAAAGAAGACGAAGAACCCGACGGAAGATCATCTTGTTATAAAGTTTCCGTTTCGAACGTACAAACCAAATTATGAAAGCTATTCCGACTCGGGGGGGGATAAGGGAAGTAAATACCCGGCGCGGTCGCGCCGCTCGCATAAACGATTTCTATATAACATTTAACAAAATTATCGAACATTCAACATATATAATTTGTACCGATCGAAAGACACACGTTTCCCATCGTGGCGCCGCGTACCGATCGAGAGGTCGCGCCTCGCCGCCCCACGATATACCCGTCGACCGTTTTGCCAAGCTAAGCTCGATGCCAATCGGCGACGATTGAGAACAAAAAAGAAACGTGTTCTCGTGTCGTGTCCGCGGACGATTAAAAAAAAAAAAAAGAATTAACAAAAACATATATAACATCAACAGCAGTCGTTAGCGCGACACGCTCCGGAAGGGGTGTATCTCGCCGAGCGTACGTACACGTTCGAGAAGCGATCCAAAGAAAAAAAAAAAAAAAAAAAAAAAAAAAAAAAATAATACGGAAGTACGTTATGTGAACGGGACACATGGGTGCGGTGAGGGGGAGGAGATCCGCGAGACGTGTCGCCAGAATGTTCTTTCTTTTATCTTTATTTCGTTCATTTTTTTTTTATACATCCGCGAGAAAGGAACAAAATGGTCACCGGGAAAAACGTGCGAATTACGTCGTCGTCGAATTCCACCCCCTCCCCAAACCCTGATCCTCGTTCGAGTATTTCTTTGCGCCCGCGTCGACGCTCGCGGACGCTCCTCTAACTTCCTAAGCGTTAACTTACTAATATTACCTCTCTCTCTCACTCTCACTCTCTCTTTAGCCTTTTCGTTACGTATTTAGGTTTCAAATTGAATTACGCGCACCCTACCGCACCGTACCGCCGAGAAACAACGAAACGGTTGAAAATAAAAAAAAAAAAAAAAATTAAAGGACGAACGGACGAGATTTTGATATAATATCTACGATATTTCTCCCTGTTTCCTTGTTTCTTTACCACGGTCCTGTCGTTCGTTTTTCGGTTTCTCGAGTTTATTTTTCTTCTGCTATATCGCTTGTTTCTTTCACACGCACACTTATTCTCTCTCACTCTCGTTCTTCCTCGCTTTCTACACATCCGGACGCGATCTTTCGCAATTCCGAAATTCACCAGAGATCCGTATAAGTCTGGAACTACTCCGATAACTCACCCCCTCTATCTACAACACTACTGCGTCAAAGCAGGAACTACAGATAGAGAGACCAGAAACGTTTGGGGGATGGCGGTGGATGGAGAACTACGACAATGCTAGGCTTGTACCGGACGTCAGTGTGGTGGTGGTTGGCTGGCGCGGGGGAGCGTGAGGCGGGTTCGTCACTCACCGGGTGCAGCATCCGATTCGCCGCAACCGATAAATTGACGATCGACAGATACGCACATCGACCATCTATTTGGCATTACAGAGACAGTGGATGCAGCCTGCCACTCACCTGGAACAGAAATCAGAAACGTGCGGCGTTAGGTGACTGTCAGCTGTTTCATGCAAGATCGAAAAGACTTTTTTCCGATCGTAGAAGTATACTCTTCGTTATCGCTGTATGAATACTGAGTAAGTGCTTTGAAAATGTACTACACAGACCCCTACATCGTTATTTCACAATTATGGGAATTTCTCAATTTTACATTTTCACCCATTTTATTCGTTTTCGTTTCAAACGTTAAATATCAACCGGCGACAGAATTTCACGTGGGACTTTTAAAATGAGTGTTACACCGGTGCAACATCGGGCATTAAAAGGTTAAGGTAATATTGAACATCGATTAATAATTACAATAAGGATTACTGAATCCTCAGCTCCAGCTCCCTCCTCTTAGATAACCCACACCCAAAGCACATTAACACCTCCATGACATAGCGACCAATCTCGTTACGAGCCCAATGCCGGCACCTCCTCCGGTACCGTTAGAGAAGACAAGGCCGGCAAATAGAGCAGCCAAAGAGTACGTGAGAAGAGCTAATCTCCTCATCCATCAGCGTTCTCGTAGAATTCCCGAGCGTTTACCATCGTCCACTTTGGGTCCTTGGACATATTTCCAACATTTCTAAAGGCGACTTTCGTACACCGTTTCTCTACCTCTCAATTACGTGGACCAGGGTTCTTAAACTCGTCGTGTAAGAAACAGCATGTCGATTTTCTCTAGGATAACGGCGAGAGACATTTTGAAAAGGAAATACCGAACACAGACCGCCATTCGTTTCGACGTGGAGGAGGAGGAGGTTGGTTGGCGAATCGTCGAACGGTGTGCAGCTCTCGGTCGTTTTCAAGGTTCGACTCCTCAGGGGTACGTTCATATGTTGAACGTGTCGAGGACACGACGGCGGGTCGGGGTCGTCGGGCCGCTGGTTCAGCTCCTTTTGTAATGGGGACGAATGCACGCGGTGCCTTGTCCAGCCACACGCACGTTGAGCCCCGGCTTTCCTGGTGTCTGTATCTCGGGGATATCGATAGCTCGCGTTAAGAGCGAAAGGGGTTGGGTCTGTGAAATGTCTTAGGGTGGAGTGGCAGGACACCCGAGCCAGCGCATTGCCAATCCGCTGCCAGTTCCGTTGCGTCCCTACCCAGCTCGCCCTTTGTCTCCCTTTTTATAACCGCTTCGTGCCCTCTGCAACCCCTTCCATCGTCCTTCTTTTCCCTTTCTTACCACCTTTTGATGCCCCCGAGATGGTACGTACTGCTTCCTTCCACGGATGGAAAGTGAATTTGTATATTTCTGACTCTGGACGAAAGAATAGAGGGTGTCAGAAATCTTCTTTTGGTGGAGTTGTCTGCAGATTCGGTTTTGCCCAACATATTCGGAATGGACGATAATGCTTCGAGGAAGAATACTTGCTGGTTAATAGACCGGTTTGAAAGATCTGATAACGTAATTTGTGGAATTAGAGTATGTAGTAGGATTTCTCGTCTGGCAATCGTGGTAGTACGGAGTTTTTGCATGGAAAAAGTAGATGCATTGATTATTGTGTGGAAGTTTTAAGCAAGAGATATTACGAAAATGTAATTCTTTCGAACGAAACGTGTGAATCTAATGTCGTAGGATCTATGCATATGGCCGACAGGGTAAACCGTCGAGTTCCAACATCCCCATAACCTAGGCTCCGTAAGCTACAAATCCTGACACTATCGAGTTTCAGCAAAATTTCTTGCATATTCCCCGAAATTCTTTCCATTTACAGTATCCGACTAAATAACTAAGAAACGTTCCTCAACAAATCTACATGGAAAAGTGCGAATACATCAAATCTCCATATCTCAGGCTAACCACAAATATTCTTCTCGAGCGCAATAGCATGTTGAATCCTCGTTTCTATTTGTCTTTATTTTCCAAGACGATTCTTTCCCGTTCCTGTGGCTCTATTTGTCATAACTCGAGGGTACCGCTCGCGATCGCAGTCGCCGCCGGCCAGCGAATAAATCACGGATGTCCACGGGGGCGGAAAGTGTTGCGCTTTATTTCTGTAAAGATTTCGAAAATGTTGTTTGCCCTGGCCACGCTGTCGAGCGGTCGTGACAAAAACGGATAAAGAAAGCGGAAAGGTAGGCGAGAGAGGATGTTCTCCCCCCTCGGGTCTTGGCAAGGTCGGCACATTTCACAGCCGCAAACTCGCGCCAACTGTTCAATCTTACCCCTCTTGTACGACCTGTTTCTTCGCAACGTCCCTGAACATCCTCACCCCGAAACTTATCCGCCATTGACGGGGGCTAGGGCGTTTATTCCCTTTATTTCTGATCGACTGATTTTTCGGCCGTTCGCGTAATCCCGACGAAATTGATTTCTAAATTTTACTACGATCGACTTTGGCAGGGTAAAATCGTGACGGGCGTGTGGGGTGAAACGATTTTGGGGGTGAATGTATTGTCTTTGAACCAGACCTCAATTGAAATTTGTGAAGTTCAAGTGTGTATTATATGCGGGTATGTTTGTGTTTGATATTTTTGTTCATAAATGATCTTTGAAAGTTAAACAATTACTTGGTGTCTTGGTAATTAATCGCTCAATAGAACATGTGATTTTGTTTACAGATCAACCGACTACTAATAAACGTCAAGTACTAATCAATCTATTCCACTCATTCTCTTAGATAATTCACTCAAGTCTTCGGAAAGCAACATCCGCAAACTCTGACTCACCGGAGTGAAACACTAACAAAAAAGATATGAAACATAGCGAAGGGTTCAACTCTAAGAAACATCCAATGAAGATGTTTCGCAAGTGGAATCGAGCAGGAAGAAATCCTTGGAATTTATTCAAGGAGCAGCTACGAATCGGGCTGCTTGGCTGTAACGTTTGTTTGTACCGCGGCTGTATTTCATTTTTGCCGTAGTTTGCTTTTCGGCCTAGAGTCACTTCGCCTTCTAGCCCCCGGGACTCTCTCTGCAACGAGCCCCGCCGGAGTTTAATGTACGTACACGAGCGTTGCTCCTTCGCGCATTTATCAGGATTTCCGAAGGAAGCCGGACTTTTTAAGCCGCGATAAATTCCCGTTCCGCGTGCCTTTACGTCGAGGAGTCTAATGTTGCTCAAAGCTCGCAAAAACCGAAAAGCACAAATCTCAATAGGACGCGGCAAAACAACCTTATCCGTCATTCAGAGGATTCGAGGCTGGACCCCGGTTCGGTATGGATCAGGTACCAATTCCTCTTACAACTAATATTATTTCAAAATTTACCCTCCACTCTATAATCTATAGTTTATAGAAAAAGGTCCAGGAGTTGTGTTAGGTTTGGATTAGACCCAAAAGTGTACTGTGGATGTAAAGTTAATTATAATACTGCTAGAAAATCACTGATAAAGTAACAGCAGCAATTATTACAGAATATGGGGAATTTTCATAAGTTACCTTATCGCTCATGGATTACACAAAATTACCCAAATCATGTTTTTCTTCAATATTTAATAATCACGGGTTCCCTAAAGCTGTCCATATTAAAATACTCTTTATTACATATGGCGTTCCGAACGGTTCTCAAACGCTTCTTACGTGAACGATCTCGAAAATCTCCAAGCTCTTCATCGTCGAGTATAGTCTTGAAAACGAAAACGTACACGACGGCTGGAGAAGATAGCCGTTCGAGGAATCGGGACACCGGGCGAATGGAGAAAAAATATCCACGAAGGTAATATCCACGTGCTGCTGGGTACGCGGTCCTGGGATAGAGGGAGAGAGGATAGAAACGGGATAGGACGAGGAAAGGGATGGGGGTTGAGCACGGAGCGGTTATTATCTATCGCTCTCGTTACCACAGGTTGCTCGTAAACCGGCCGCATCAAGAGGGTGGGGCGGCGTTTGGGTTGGAGAGCAGAAGCATAGGTAGGTAGATACCGGTACTCATATCGTTGTCGTCGTCCCGTACCCTCGGTGCCACCACCGAGTAAACCCCTCTCTCTACCAGTATTTTCATCGGGGTTACCCCTGCAGGATATCGCGGAGCTGCGCGAATGGACGGCCGCGTCGAGGGGGCACTTGAAAAATCTCGACTTGCGAGAGAGTGCCTTGCCTTCCCGTCGATTCGCTTCTATCCCACCGATTGCTTTCACCCTATTTCCTGTTACTTCCTCCGGAAAATCTTGCTTCGGGGAATACACTGTCCACACGTTTTCCTTGACTTTCGTAATTTTTTTAACAAGTACTTCGAAATAATTCTTTTAATTGTCGATGTTATTGTACTGAAATTTCAGATCGTACGATGTGTCTGGAGTAATATTAGGTATAGCGGAAAATTTGTTGTGCCCCTGTACTGGATTTGATATGTATTATTTTGCATGATCTTTCATCTGCCGGATAATTTCTCAATGTCTTACATATTGGTTCTCCATTTGAACATTCAAATTTTAGTAGCAGACAAGCATAATAGAAGTTTGTGTTGCAGTTAGATGTTGCTAATATATTATGACAAATATTTTCAGACATCTAATATTACATAAAAATAAGCAGAAGAATAATATAGATTATTCAATAATAATTCAATAATCATTGCAATATTCCTGTAATACTGGTCTTATTAGCCTATTTACGGGTTCTGAATTAATGGACTTGCAAGGCAAAGATATCAGGTCAGTCCATAAATTTATGCATATTCTTGTTTAATATTAATTCAATGTCCCTTAACATGTCACAACAGTATTTAAAAGCGACTAAACACCAGAGTTGAGCAAATTCTATTCGACTAATACATATTAAAAAACAGCGGTATCTAAAATCGTCATCCTTTAAACAGTCCATAAGATTAAATGTCTGTTCACCAGGTGTCGACGCATTCAAAAACTGTCATAGTATTATAAAAATTTGAATTTCCACGTGTAATCAATGAAAACCGTCAAAGTACTTGTTTCTATATTCCATCCGTTATTCAAAACTCTTTCATCTATATAATCAATTTGCCCACCACCGCTCTGGAAACAGACCATATCTCCAGAGTGAAAAATGAAA